CCAAGCACAAGACAAGCGACGCCTTATAAGGGCTTGTTGTTCATCACAGTAGCCAACCTAAACACAACGCATAATCCGCACACAATATGTTGGGTAGAGACGGATATTCAGTTCGGTGGAAGACCAGTAGAAAGTACACACTGGAACCTAAGGTTCCGAAATAATAGAAATAAGCCTTCGTAAAATATCATCACAGAGTGAATCCAAACGAGCAGGCTCGATCTCTGCCGAACCCTCTACCATCCCCGCAAGGTGATCCGCCAGCTGCAGTTCTTCCTCTGAGAAGCTACCCTTGACGTTCCCGAGCTGCTCCAATCCTCGACTAGCACTCTCAATATCCACCACCGTGCCAGGCTCGATAATTGGCACTCGTCTGACCTCGCTGATCAGCCTGCTGGTCTGCGGGCACTTGTACTTCGCGAGTTCACGGCAAAGCTCAAAGAATTGTTCTGTCATTCGTGAATCAAAGCCCTCCGAGTTCCCATGGGAGCTCAGCTCCCTCTTCAAACAAGTCAGCATCGCTTGAGGGCTCCACGGGTACTTCCAGCTCGCCACTTCTGTCGTTCCCGCAATCTCCGCCATGAACAACGCTACGACTCTCACATCCACGCCGTTGACCATGAAGTTCCTGGCCGAGGTCTTAATACTGTGAATATCAGTGTGATTCATATCGAGGAAGACAACGTGCTTGGACTCCTGTTTGGACCTCCTCACTTTGTGTTGGACAAAGTCACCACTGGCCCTCCTCAAGGCAGCGCCCAAGGCTGTACTATCAAAAGCCCCCCTTCTCGCGAAGTCCCTCGCCTTGATGAGAGCTGCATTGCTCACCACCGCCTCTGAGTTCTGCTCACTCTCCGTTCGGTTCTTCCCCTGTATAAACTTTCCTTTTTTAACCTCTATCTTATCAAACATGTCTTCAAGGAGTTCACTAGAGCCCGACCCTGGCAGACCCATCGGGACAACCAGGAAGATCGTCCTCGACGATCGTGGCTTTTCCCCCAGCATCCTCTGCACTGCTTCTCGTAGTGCCTTTTCCGACCCCGGACTGGCCGTCTTCACCCCTCGAGGAATCTTCTTGGATGCCTGCTGATACCATTTGGCAAAGAGACCGCCTTGTTTGCTCATAGGGAACTGGAAGAATACTTCGTCCTGTTTAGACTTGTTCTCATCCCCCGCATGAGCCAACGTGCGTCCGATCACCTCTTGAATGGCGCCCTCCCAGCCGTAGTTCACCACAGCCACTCGGTCACGTTGGAACTTGAACCGAAACAGGAAGCTCACCGTGCACGCATGCACAACACGGTCATCACCGTCTTCCAAGAGCTGCTGAATTTGTCTTTCGCCAGACACTCCATCATCCGTGAGCAGCTCCCTCGGCACCACCCCAGGAGGAGCATGAATAATCACAACTGTTCCACCGCGCTTCTCCGTCTCCCTAGCTTCCACTGAAGAACTGCTCATTGAGGCCTCTGTAGGGGTGACTGCCACTTTCGGCCCTTTCGATGTCACCACTTCCAACGACTCCTCGACCTCTGGCGTACTCGGCACAGTAGATATCGGCGACGCTGGGATTTCAGTGCAAAAACCGGGTCCACACTCGAGGGCCGAACCTTCTATTGAACCCTCTTGAACGGCGTTCATGATGGTATCTGGAGAAGTGCTATCATCCACTATCTCTGCCGCAACAATGGGCGCCTCCTCGACCACCAGGGTAGGACCAACAGAGTTGTCTGCTGATAACAGCGCCCCATCATCAGCATCACTTACACTACCGTCCTCTCCTGCACCAACAGCAGACTTATCCAGTCTGGTTGTAGGCCTTTCCCCACGCAAGACACTAGTTATTCCCCGTATAAGCTGAAGTAGGTTTGGGACCGTCTCGACCACCCAGGCATCAGTGACGGCCTCCTTCTGTCCATTCCACCACCCCTCAATGAGACTGCGTTGCTCCTCTAGGGTCCCCGAGGCGAACCTCAGCTCTTCCTGTAACAGAAGCTCTCGAGCCTTGGCCCTCGTGGTCTGTTGCCTTGCTTGCTCGAGGACCTCAACAAGTGACTCGTCCCAGCCTATTCTGAAGACCCCATCAACTGCAACTCCGCCCGTCCACCCAGGCGCGTATAAGACATGCTTGCCCCCGGTCTTCCGAATAGTCCCGAGAGTCTCGGCATTCACAGCAACATCATCTGTGATCAGCTTGTGCGGTACAGACCCTGGCGGAGCATCGATGAGAACAATTCGGCACTCCGGTTCGTTTCCCAGGCCCTCCGTTATTCCCGGCAACTCTTCAACTGACGGGGCAGTCAAAACCCAATCCTCCACACCTTGAGCCGCCTCATAGCAGTGCCCTATCTCCTCCACCTGGGCCTCCGGGTCCATCTCGAAGAACTCAATATCAGCCTCACAAAGATCCATTCGACCGGCCTTCTCGAACGACCTTGTGATAACATCATCAACCGTACCCTCCCAACCAACACTGACCACCCTGACGCTCTCCTTCAACTTCTCTCCACCAGATCCCATCACAGTGATGTCCCTCATACGGGCCACATGCCTGCCGCCACTCTCAACCATCTCCATTATCGCTTCTACAGAGGTAACCTCAGTCGTCCTCGTTAACAGCCGAGATGGTATAACACCAGGAGGAGCATGAATAAGAACAACCAGGTTTCCACCCTCATCAGGAAACTCTACTGCTAACCGAGCAAGCTTCATGAACTGCTCCTTCACATCCCTCTCGCGCCACTTGTCTTCACGCTTCGCCACTTTTTCTATCTTCTTGAGTAAACCCACATAGGC